ACACACACACATTTATTTTTATATATGTATTTAGTTATGGTCTAATTTTCATTTTTTCTTTTCATTTTCCAAGCACTTAACAGCTTGAGCCTCAACTCTGAACTTCTATTTCCACATCTGACACTGCAGCTGAAAAGAAACACAGTAGGGTACTAAAGGAAGGTAAGTCATTAGTCAGAGATGAAGAATATAAGTCTAAGTACAGGACATGCCAATGAACTGCTTTGCTACTGGAGTCATCCTACAAAATAATCCCTGCTGATCCTTAGGCGAAACATGTAATAAACATATGCATAAAGAGTCAATTCATCACCCATTTTTTAATTTACTTCATTACGAAGTTCTGCCTATATGACACATTTCATTTCGCAGCAGGATGAGACCAACGTATTTGCTGCAGTCATAATTATGTCATTATTTAATCTCACCCATCATTTTAAAGTTAATTATATACCTACCTATTTTTACATCCCAGTTCTAACACAGATTTCTGCTGGGTACCAGCCATACTGAAGGCTGGACACCAGTACCAGCTTTCTCTCTTTCATTTTGCTTCTGTTATTAGTTTAGCAAGTTGGCTGGGAAAAGAAATCAGACAAAACCCCAAACTCAAAACAGGTTTTGTCAGGCCACAGCAGAGCCTGTATTCTGTGCTTAATCCTTATGAATTTCAGTATACTCTTCCACAGTTGGAATAGGTATCTGGACATATTTAGGGACAAGTGTAATAAGTGGGAACACCTATTAACTTTGTACCTACTGAGCTGAGAAACATTATTAATTAATAAAGTCCTACAGAAGTGGTACTTTTCATTCTGTAAGAAACCAAAGTAACATCTCTGAAAATACCTCTAACATACCTATGAACAACATGGAATGTTTTCTTGCAAATTTGAGGCCTTCATTTCTGTCAACTTCACGGTTTTCCTGTAATAAGACATGGCATTAATGAGCATTGTTAACAACACACACCAACAGATCATTTACTGCAGTTGAATTTGTCTTACCTTATCAATCTTGTTTCCAACTAACATTTTCACTATGTCATTCCTTGTGCAGTATGTTTCCAATTCATTTAACCAGTTATCCAGCTTGACAAAAGTATCTCTTCTTGTGACATCATAAACTGAAAAAGATATTAGCAATATTATTTCCACAATATTTTTCAAAGGATTACAGCTTACATTGCAAAAGGAGACAAATATTTGGCTTTTTGAATGAGAAAACTGAAGGAATCCCAAGGATTCCAATTTACCTTCTGCACCAATAACTGGAAAAAAAAAGTTGGACATCTACCATCTCAAATCACTGATGCAGAGCAACTCTAAGATTCAGTCACCTACTCTTCTCAGACTGATTTATCTTGAGACATCTTAGCTTACAGGCTAGAGACTATCAGTCTCCAAAGAATTCTACACTTGCAGACCCCTGATGTAAGGTATTTACTAACATGACTACATAAAAGCCACGCAAAGAGAACAGCATGAACTTCAGCACTGAATTTATTAGTGATAATTAAGATTTGTTTAACATTGCTGCTATGCTGATTTAGCAAAAAAAGTAAACAGATCACCAAGTCCTCATGGATACCAGTGAACTGATTTTTCAGTGCTTTAAGCTATTTAGTACTTGTGTGAAATATAAGTAAGCAAGCCACGCTAGGAGGTGAAAAGACAGACACAAAAAAAAAGCAGACTTATATCTAAAAATCCACTCCCCAGTACCTGCCTAGCTAGCACTCCAAGCTGTGATTTCCTTCATTTCCACATCCCATGTGCAGACAAGCATCAATAGTTTGTTTCAGTCAAATCTGTAATTTGGCTTCCATAAACAACCTTCTTTTTAGGAAGCCATATAACAAAGAAATATTTAATAAAATGAGAGCAAATCTCAGCAGCAAAACTTTTGAGCTCCCAAACAGTGCTTGCTGACTTTTACAGCTTCCAACAGTAAGTGGCAGATTCTGAGCCAGCAACTAAGTGACTTAACAAGACATGTCTTGACAGGAAGACTTGGGAAAAGGTACATACAAAACAAAACCTACCAAGAAATCCCATGACAGAGGTTATTTCAAGTTAAACCATTTAATTGGACACAGTATCTTACCAAGATTCTCTCAAGACAGATGCAACTTCAAAACAACTTACTTCCCTGCCCTTACTTTAGTTAGCTCCTCCCTTCTAGCAGAATTTCAAAGCTCAGTGCCTAGTTAGCAGGTTTCCACATACAAAAGAAAAGCGAATGAGACTTCACCGTGAAGATGCAATTATGGGTTTTGCCTGGGTTTCTCACACACAGATTGGTGTTTTCTATATGCCCAGCTAGTCTTTTCTAAGTGATTCTGGCTGTGTAACATCCAATCAGTAGGGAGACAAATAACAACAAATCCCAGCCAGACTCCACAATGTTTATAATCATTTCATCAGGAAAAAGAACAGGAAGAAGCAAAAGTGAAAGCTGTATACATACTGATACAGAGAGAATACAGGGGAGAATCTTTTTTGTTTTACTCTGGGCTTAGTAAACACAGGCAAAAATAGAAAGTAATAAATTAAAGGCAAATTCCTGACATCACAAGGACTGCTCCAGGCTATCCTTTCAAACAGCAGCAGCTTTTACTCTCATGCAGAAATCAGATGTTCTCAAGCCAGTCAGACTGACTACATAAGACATCAGACATCAAGATCCTTTAATATGAGTTGTTCAGATACAACTATTTTTAGTATCAGTTATTCCATAAAGGTTATATGAATGTTATATATATGGAGGTTATATGCATGAAAAACTTGCAAACTTTCAAAATTGCATGCAAAGCTGTACTTACCCAGGATAACACCTTGTGCACCTCTGTAGTAACTGGGTGTTAATGTTCTGAATCTCTCCTGACCTGCAGTATCCTAGAAAGCCATTCAGAAAGTTCCATTATCAGAATCTGAGCAGAATCTAGCTTAGCTTTCAGGTATTCTGCTTCCAATGACTATACAAAGTAAGACATAAAGTATATTCCACTGCCAGATTAGCCAAGTTTACTCCATCCCCTGCTGGTTTACTACATTCAAACTTTTATGCAGTCTGTCCTGGGAAACACCTTTAAACTGCTAGGTGTAGAAACTAACTGGACTATATAGCAGTAAGACAGACTTTTGTGCAAAGGCATTAGTTCTCCAGCTAGTACTGCAGCAACCAGCAAGAAACCAGCATAGCTGCAGTGCTTACTAAGGTTTTGTAACAAGCATCACAGCACATGGCAACAAAACCAGTTCCCTCACTGCAATCACCTTGGTCCAATTAAATTTGACTGAGTGCCAGGGTAAATGCATTAACATGCTATGACAGAGCAGATGCAGAAGTGAGTCAGAGGATTTTCTGGTTTTAGGTAAAATTGAGCTTATATCCTCAAATTTACAGTGTCAACAGCTCTGCAAAAAAAACTCCAAATATGAGATTAGAGATCAAGTTATAGTGCACACTCATTGCAGACTTTATGCATTTAAACATTATCTAAACAACTTTATCCCATTTACCCCAGATTAGAAGTGACACATGAGACACTGTGGAACCTGAATCACCAAACTGGACTTCCAACATTCTACAAGCCACACAGTCAACCTCACAAATCTCAAACTGGTTTTGTGTCATGATGCACCTTTATAAGCTTTTCTTACCCCGTTTACCTCAGGATTATTTCTTTTTATTTACCAATACAAAAGAAAATAAACCCTAAGTTAGTCCTATGCAATATTTCCCATCACATGATCACTTATTGATCTACTATTAGTCTGGTTATCCTCCTACACACCTATTATTTTTCTGTGAAACTATTGCAGTTATTTTCCCTATAAAACCCATTTATTTTAGTGATGATTATTATTGTAACTAAGACATAAATCCTGTTTGTTAGTTGAGATATGACGTGCCCTGAAAGCAACAGAAGTACTGCAATATATATTTCATGTTCCACTACTCCTTCCCAAGGAAGGAAAGGTCTGGTATCTTGCTTGTATGAGAAAAAAAGGTTTTATTCTTGCTTGCTTCAAGAAGGCACAAGTGGGTCTAAATATTCAAAAGGTGCTTCAAGTCACGTAAGTGTGGAGGCTGGTTTACACAATGGAAAATATTTTTAAAAAACTTGGAAGTACTTTTTCTTTCTTCACTTGCCATAAATTTAGAAGTTCTACTTTTAGCTAGAGTAGAAGTTGAACACTGTAAAGCTAAGAATACAAACACCAACTCTCTCTCCTTCAGATGCATCTGCTTCAAATAACTCTGACCTCAAGTCTATAATAGTCTTTGTATGAGGGATATGAAATTTAGGCTAAAAATGGGTTTAAGCATTTGAGCATGCAACAGTAACTCTTAACCTATTAATACACAACCTAAATGTTACAGGCAAAAATTATTACAAAAGTGCACCCTTTCAAAATCTGTAAAGTACAGACAACAGCAGTACAGACAGGGACATCTGATCAGTGAGGGCTAACTCTTTACAAGTTAAACAATTAATTACTCATTAAAAAATATCTAGGAATGGCCACATTCACTGTTTTGAAGTCTGACTGATTTAGTACCATTTAACTGCTCCTTTTCTCTAGTCCTATCCCAACCAGACCTGGACTCAGTGCTGCAGATGCTTACAGGTGACAGAATCATCCCATTAGCCAGCTATCCCACAGTTCACCTTCTGAATGGTGCAGTATTAACCTCCCACCTCTCCAAATCACCTTCATATTAAATAGAAAAGGATTCTATACAATCTGTACATCACACAAATCATCACTATTCCTAAAGCAAAGCAATACATTAAGGACTTAGGAGAGACTTACCCATATTGCCAGTTTAGCTTTATTTCCATCAACCGAAATAGTTTTCACCTTAAAGTCCACGCCTAGAAGAAGAAAAATATTTTAGTTCTTCAAACATACCACAGCTATACAGTTTCATTTTCTATTTATGAACCCTGTTTTTGAAAGAGAAAGTAAAGAGAAGAGGGGAAAAAAATCAAACTCAGAAAACAGGCTGTGTTGTGACAGGAGCAGGAAGAATAAGTTTCATTTTCTATTTATGAACCCTGTTCAAAATGCAAGGCTTTGCTGCTGACAGGTTTGTGCAAAAGCCTAAAGGCCTTTTAAGCCATTGACTCTAAACAAATACTACATTTCCTGTATTAAAGCACATATTCCAGTACAAATATTCAAGTTTATAATTCAAATGGATTACCTTTCTATTCATTACTCACATACATCTCCCTGAGTACACCTCTGGCCTTGAAGAACAACCTACTTTAACAATAAAGGAGGAAGCTGCATTTAGGTACCTATTTGCTCTGCTTCCCTATCTTAAACACTCTGACCAAGTCCCATCAAGGTGATCAAGATTAGTAAACTGATATAGGCAGAGACTCATCTACTACATGACTGCTATCCTGTGAGAAATAACATTAGATTACACTAATTTGTCTAACAAATATGTCAAATAAACTCCAGATTATTTCAACACACAGTACATCTCTTACAGGGACTCCAGAAATAACAGGAACTCCCCAATACCAGGCTTGTGACCAAGAAAAGAAACCAAACAGACAACATGATAATTAACAGTTCTGCTGTTAAGCCATCTACCTCAACATCTCACAATTTCTCCCTCTTCATGTCCTCCCCCCAAGGAGGAACTAGCAGCCTATCACTTGCTCAAGGACAAGCTGCACAAAACTCAAGCCAAGGAGAATGAGATATTAGTGACTGTGCAAATTTAAAGGCTACAGTAACACACAGCAGTCTGAGAGGCTGAGTACAGTTATGATCCACTATGCTCTAATTTAATCCTTAGGATACCAACAGCAAGTAACTGGAAATATCTTCTAAGTATTTTGGAGTGACTTTCACTCCCCATCAGGCAGCAGCGCTGAAGGGAAGAAGTGTGGAACGCTGGTATTTTTTGAGTGCAACAGAAACCTTTTTGCACTGTGAATTAAAATGGCAGTCATCATACTTGGTACATGGAAAAGAGTTTGTTTTAACTATTCTAACACAAAATGTTTAAATAGGACCTAATGGTAAGTGTGCTGCACTGAACCTGCACACTGCAAGCGGATTTACAGCTTCAGTGCAATAGAATTTTAAAAGAGCTTTCTTTAAAGAAAAACCATACACACCATTTTTATTCCACTGTTTCACAGCTTCAGGTCATTAGTGTTCCCTGAAGTGTCAAGCGATTCAGACAACATTCTGTGCTGGAAGAAGCCCACACTCCTTATTTCAAGCAAATTTTTTCCAAAGTGCAATAACTTTTGCAGTAACCAAACAGAACTTTATGGGCTTTTTTCAGAGACTAAGATTCCTCATCCCTAACTTAGCAGCAATATAATGCTCAATGTCATGCACAAGAATGGTACATTATTCTACAGTTATGTTCAGATAAAAGAACAGTCACTATTAACTCTGATTTAAACATCAGTTCTTAGAACTGCACCTAGTTCATGTAAGACTGCTATGCTAGCAATTTGACACAAATTGACCTTAAAGAACATCCTGTCCTGTTCATTATAGGCACTCAGCAGTAGCTTTTAGATTAACAGAATCTTTTTCTTCTGTTGTAATTGCATGTATCTTCCTTAAACTGCAAAAATCACCACTGCTCAGTCAATGTCCAACAGTTCACAGCTCATTCTTTTACACACCCATCTGGCATCAAACCCTGCAGCTGCAGATATTACAAGTCTATTGGATACTTATTGTAACAAATCAATGTATCACAGCAGTTTCAAGAAACAAAACTTTCTTCCCTAGGATAAACCTGTTAGGTGTACTCTGAAGCCACAGGATCCTCCTCCCATTCCGCAAACAGACTGAGACTATTGTACCTGCATAGTTCAGCAATTTTCACTTAATGGAAAATGTATATGCACCTTTATGTTAGCCTTGCTGCTGGCCAAAAACTTACTTTAAATTTGCATGAGTAATGCACGCAAAATAAGAAACTAAAATAGCAAATAAACCCCATGTATTAAACTGATTATTGAAGGGCAAATGTATGAAAATGAACTGATAGCACACCAAAATATACCCTTTGAAGTGATCACGGCATGTCAAATAAAATTCTAGCAAACCAGGTAGCTCAACACATATATAAGATATAAGCCAATTAACAAAAAGAAAACTTTTAAGTAACTAGGGGTTTTTTACTGTCAATCTGCCATGAAGGAGGACAAGTAGAAAAAAAAATACAAGGCTCAAGAAAATTTTGCTGAACAGAACAAACAGGATACTTATGTTCCCTAAATATGTCAGTGAAATGTAGACATGTTTGTGGACAGGTGTCAGTTCTGAGCTTGCCAGAGTGATGTCTCTATCCCTGACAGCTGAAAGCTGACAGTGCTTTCCACCATGCCTTGGAAGGCAGCCAGAAACAAGACAGCACTACTAGAGGGTACTCCTGTGTGTTAACACTTCCTGCCTCAGCACGACACACCAGCATACTATGGATTTACAGACTGCAAGGAACAGCCCTGTCACTGATACTGCTCTCACATTCAGGCCAGTATGCCATGCTGCACTTACAGAAGTGCAAAATCAGCTAGAGCAGCAGCTGTGTTGCTGGTAAGTGACAAGCTGGACAGTTTAGAGTAGCAGGACTCCAAATGCAAAGAAAGCTAAAAAGAGACATCAGGTGTGTGCAACACATCATTTATGAAATAGGGATTGCACTGAACACTTAGCTAGAATCTTTCATACAAAGAGCAACCAAGTAAAGACAGGCATGAGCAAGAAGGACCACGTAAAATACTGGGGTATGTACAGTCTGATGTGATCCATGTGATGGAGCCCAGTGAACCAGCCAGCCTCAAGAGAATGCAAGGAGGACAGGTGATCTGCTAGGTTGAATAAGACACAGTTAATCCAACTGAAGCCAAAGTATTTGCCCAAAGCAGCTTATTCTTCTGAGAGTATCACAGGACTTTTATAAAGTTCTGAAGAAAAACCCACAAAACCCAATCGTTTAGGGTTCCATTTAAACTGCACCAGTAGGTCTGTGCAATCTACAAAGACAGACAGGTCATTGCAGGGGACCAGTTGTGGTGCAGTCAAGACGTTCCTCAGTATTGTGGTTTTGAGTACAGTTCCTGCTATATGTTAAAAAAACCAAACCAAACATGTTAACTCTTCACTTTCTAACTCAAATAAAAAAACACAGTCACTTTAACCAGTTCAGCAGCCAGTATGTCGACATTACCTGTAGTCCATTCATTTCAGAAAAGCACCACACTCTTCAGTTTCAACAAGAAAGCCTTAAAAACCCTTCTGTCCTCTAACTCAAAACAAAATACTGTTTAATTAGCAGAAAAAGAACTCCAAGTCAAGACTCAAAGTGTTTTGGCATTTCACCATCTTTCAAGTACCCAAATTTGGCATCCAGGATCTGTCTCCATGCAGAAGAAAACAGTTACCTCTAAGAACTCACTCCAATTATATGAGCAACAAATCCTGCCCTGAATTTAAAACTGACATGGTGCTTCTCAGAAATACATTCATCAGAAAAGTAGCAATGCCACTGCCTAGTAGTTTGAAAAGGGAAACAAGAAAACAAGTAAGACTAACCCCAATTCTGTCCTCTTCCAGTTAAGTGGGAAAAAACACAAGAATCCGCTATCCCACCTGACTGCTCCACACACCCTGCTGTAAGACAGTTGGGGTCACAGTAGCCCTACTGCACAATACTGCTACAAACATCTGCTAGGGGGGGCCTAGGAGCCAGGGTGACCTAGGCCAGCATTTGCTCAGCCTCCAGTAACTGACTTTTCCTGCCAAATGATCACATTTCCCCATTAGAAACAGAACTGGGTATGACCTGCCAGCAGTAAACCTTGAACTGTTGCTCTTTAACAACCAATGGTTAGGTATCACACATGCTGTTGTGCATTTTGACAAAGCCCAAAGAAGAAGAATTGCTTAAGGAAATAATTCCTTAGATGTTCAATAGCGCACTGATATTGAGTTTTGACACTGATAAAGAATATTATGTACTAACAGCAGAATGAAAAAAAACCCCCACAGTTAAAACCAAACACAAAAAAACACCACAATAAAAGTGCCCACATTGAGACCAAACTAGTCTGTTATCCAAAACATCATGAAAGCTCAAGTAGCTGTTCTGCACTAACTTCCTGGCCCACACAGTTGACATAACAAGTAAGTAATAGGATCTGAAGCACGTACAGTGCCAAAACTATTAGAATACAAGATTGTCATCTTCACCACCTGATCTGTTACATTCCTGTTTTCTTCCATGCTATCCTCCCTCATGAACTGAGGTGGGGCCACTTGCACAATTTCACATTCATGGGCAATGGAATGAACAAAAACAGGCCACATTCCTACCCTTGGATGCCCAGTGCTTTATATCAAATAGTACTCCTGTACCTTATTAACATGAATCAAAAATGGATCAATTTATTAAATCTTGATCAGACAGAGCTGGCTTTGTTTACCAACAGCTGAACTCAAAAAAATTTGCCTAAGTTCTTAGACAGAACTCTTCCTACAGAGAAAGTAAAAACTTAACTCAAACATCTTATGTGAAAAAGTATCTCTATTTTCCATTATTTAAGTTATTACTCTGGCACAGAGTTGCATCACATCCTTAAAAATTTCATTTGGCTTCCTTTGACAACCAATCCACACAGGGTATCCTACTTTCTGGGTCACTTTCCTCCAGCACAACTGACCCACACTGGCAGCTTTCATACCAGCACAACAATGACACATCACTGCTTTTTTCCCAGCAGCTCTATGTTCTTGGTTCTCTTCCACTTTTCTCAGGAGCCTAGCTGCCAAGAAACTGATTACTAACTAGAAGAGAAAAAGCCACACCTCAATTTCCTCCCTATAGAGGAAAAGCAGCAGCCACACAGAGCACAGCACACTCTGGTATTGCCAGACCTTGCAAGAGTTAACACCCCCTAATAAAGTATCATTTTGCACAGAATACAGGGTCAGGACAGCAATATTGCTATTCTGACAACCTGACAGCAATCTTGCACAAAGAAACCAGTAGGAGACATAACAGTAGCAAAATGCTGCAAACAGTGAACTGGAGGCTGTTCCACAGCTTTTCACTGCCTATAGCTATGACTTCCATTTTCATGGTGACAGGTGTCACTTTTATCTGCTCTTTTCAGCCAAGGATGTATTTTTTCATAAAGGGGACAACTACCCTGTATACAGTGCAGTCACTGCCCTACACTGATGAGCACTGCATGATAAAATTGTGTCCACGTCATTCCTGCATTTCAGAAAGGGAGACATGTAGGCATGCCTGAACTTCAATACATGTCAGGCAAGCCTGAACAAACTCCAATTTTCCCCTGAAAATGGCCTAAATTTTTCAAAGGTAGTATCAGCACATACTTACCAATTGTTGCTGCAAGTTCTGGGTCAAACGTGTCATCTGTGAACCGCAGCAGAAGGCTGAGAAGGAGGGAAGAGAAGTATGAGTTACTATTACTGCAGCATACCCATATCTTGCTGGTAGCCTGTTTATTACAAGTCTGAAAGGAACAGCAAGATCACACAGCTAAATAAAACCACATCTCATTGTTTTGTGTGGGAGAGAAATTACAGAAAAAAGAAGGGAACATGGGAGGAAAACAGCAGACATGCTCTGTTTGCTGAGCCCATGCCTCTTGTCTCCATGTATTACCAAGTATTGAAAACAAAGTCCCTCCCAAGTTGTGAAATCAGCTGCCTGAACAGTCACATGATCTGCTTATCAAAGCATTTCACTTCTACCTTATTCTATTTTTATTCTCACATAATTCAGTACAAAAGTAGTATTTTTTTGTTCTGTTTCAATATTGCCTCACACAGTATTTCTGGAAGCTTGAGAAAAAAAAATCCAAGTCTGCCTTTCATCCCAGAAATGAGTCCTTGAATAGGGCACACAAGGGAACAGTAAGGACTATACCCATCAGAAATAAAGACAAAGAATTCAAAGAGTAAAATTAGCTCATGGTTGTTTTACAATAGGTGTATCTTTTTGTATGTAAGGCCTTTCACACATACACTTCCCCCTATCCTGATGAACGTGTTTGCCACCAGCAGCAGAATACTTAAAACTAAGCTTTAACAGCACATCACACCACAACAGTGTAGGATCCCTTAAAGAAGTGCCCACAATGCCACTGTACTTGTGCCAAATGTAAACATTTTTCCAAGAGACAAAGATTCTCAGCAGATAGGTCCTAAAATTACTAGTTCTATGCATCTGTGGCAAGTGTATGTTACCATCTGGCAGGCAGCTGTTTGCTGTGACCAACAGCTTCTTCTCATGCCCAGGCTGCAGAAACAAAACAAAGCCTTATGTACTTTTTGGTCTTCTCCCCTGAGTTTGTTTTTTATTCCTCTCTCCTCCTTTTGCATGTGAATACAGCATCAAATGCTTTTTAGCATAATGAGGTTGGGTGACACCACCGAAGTTAAACACAGACCGTTTTCTCCTTACTCCAGAACCCCAAAACCAAGTGGTGGCTTTATCTACCAAAGACTAATTAAAATAATTATTAAAAGCAATCACAGCACACAGGTTTTTACCAGTACCTTCTGGTATCAGGCTGTATCAGGATGCTATTTAAGAACAGCTATTTCTAGTTACAACCAAAACTAGTTTCATTCAAAACAGACAAAACATGGAACCCTTATACTGCTACCAGAATAAAAACATCACTCTAGCAGTCTTGCATGCCAAGCCCAGCCAACTTCTACTTTCCCCTCCTTTCCCTCATATGTAGCTACCATCTACGAATTGCAGCACTGCAGACAGCATTGCTCAGAAGTCAGGACTCCAACCTCTTACTACACCCAGCTAATACCAGTTTAACATCTGACCTTTCCTAGTCAAGTAATGGGTCAGATACATGAACTAGGGAATAGTTCAATATCAAGTTCCTGTACCTGAACAATTACAGTATTATCCTTTAACAGTAATTTTATTTCCTCTATACGACACCACTTCTGACAAGTTTTCTGCTGTGAAGAAACAAGCATGTAAATATCTACCCAAAACCTTTGTGTGTGTCATCTGCCTCTGGAAAAACTCTTCCATATGGCCACTCACATGTTAAGAGATGACCTCAACTAAGAGAAATTTGCTCAGACCATGTCTGTCACCAGAGGCCTAGTGCACTAATTATCAATTCAGTAAAGACTCAAATGAGCAACTGACAGGTTTTTAACAAACAAAGGCTTTTTTTTTAATAATTAGCCACCTGCATGTAATTTAGGGTCATGTCACAAGACACAGATTACTGCCATAAAAACGTCAAACCTAAAATCAGTGGTGTGGTACATTTCCAGACTGCCTCCTGCATTTATATCCCACTCCTTTTACTAAGAACGATGGCACTGACAAAAACAGGTTAAAAACCCCCAAACCACTAAACCCCAAAAAAGGTAGCTTAGACAAAAGGCAGGAGTAAGGCAGGAGGGAAGAAATCCAACTCGAAGTACTTCACAAAGCGCATAAGTAACAGAAGTCGTAGCAGAACTGCTTCCCTGCCCACCCGAGCTGCCCCACACACCCAGCGCTGGGTCACTTGTGACTCTGCATGTACACATAACCAGACCGGCCCCAAAGCGCTACAGAGGTGTCCAAGGACACCCATCTCCACGGGGCACAGTGAGCGCAAAGACGGGAAAGAGAAACTGGAACCAGTCTTTGTTTCCAACCGGGGCAGGCAGACACCAACTAGCTCTCCCTTCCTTCGCGGGG